GCTTGAACTAATGTAATATTTCACTTTTGTGAGGTGAAAAAATAACAAGGAAAAAAATTTTAACAACATAATTTTGTTAAGCTTGTATAAAGTCAACACTTTGGGGCTAAATCCGAAGACGAATTCATTTAAGAAGAGATATCTAGCCTGAGCGAGTGGTGTACACACCTCCAATTACTTTGTTCTTTCATTATCTCTTGTTTTGGTGACAGTTTTTAGAATTATACTTCCTGAAATTGAGATTACATCTTGTTTATTTACCATGTACTTTGTAATTTTGCTGCTGTCATCTTCAATTTTCAATGGCCAGTAGTACTAGTACAATAGATAAAGTCAACCTTGCTCAAAGTCGACACTTTTTATCTGTCCGGGGTGTTGACTTTACCAGAATTCCATTGTAACTTGTTTTATTTGTAATTAAGGCGCCTATTGTCATTGTCATGAGTCTCAATCTTTTCCTTTTTAGTAAGCTAGAGTGTAGGCAATATTTTACTTGAATGATTTACTCTATTATTTTTGTGTGTGCATATATTATTATGTGCATGTATGTGTGTATGTGTCCCGCTCAATTTACCGATCTGCGCAAGATTGCGCCTCGCGTTTTTACCGTCGTAAGAGTGCGCCGCCTTCTTAAGATGCCGCTGCGTGTTACAATGGTATAATTGCGTGGCAATCTGAAGATTGCGTTAACATTTACACGTATTTTTGAACTTTAACATACACTTCCATCTTTATTCTTTTACTCACATCAAGGAACATTCACATACGTTTTCAAAAGTGTAAAAATATGAACATTAAAATTAACAAATAAAACTGAAGAGCTCACAAGAATGATACAATGCCAGGTATCAAACTCAAAGTTCACAATGTACATAAAAGAATAAATAAAGATGGAAGTGAATTTTTTTTTAATTCGTTAAAAATGTATATATAATAAATCTTTAGATTGCCGCGCAATTATACGATCATCGTAAAAAGGAGCAGCGCAACAGATCGGTAAATTGCGCGGAACATATATGCATGTTTTTCATGAATATTATGCAACACACATAGAACAATGATTGTTTCACGGATTTTCGCGATATAAATTTCATTTTTTTTTTCATTATAAGCGAACAATGCAATATTACGGCG